TATTGTCTCAGTGTCATCTGAACAGGAGATTATAGGGTTTCTTGAGAGTGGGTCCCCCGTGTTTTTGTAAGCTGTGTTCCTGTGTTTGCTCTGCTAAAAATTTTTTTTTTCTCTCCTGCCTAGCCTCCCAAGTAGCGGGGATTATAGGCGCACGCCACCACACCCAGCTAATTTTTGTATTTTTAGTAGAGTCGGGGTTTCACCATGTTGGCTAGGCTGGTCTCAAACTCCTGACCCCAAGTGATCCACCCGCCTCTGCCTCCCAGACTCCTGGGATTACAGGTGTGAGCCACCACACCTGGCCTGCTCTGCTATATGTTTTTATTCAGGATGTGAACATTTTATCGCTGGGAGGAAAAGAAGGAATGAAGGGCTGTCAGCACAGCATGCATTTTTCTCATAGGAATCATGTTTTAAATGGTGATTGCGGTGCCGGGTTAGCAAGCAGACACAGAATGAGTAGTGCACCTGAATTCTAGTATGAACTTGAAGGCTGGATGAGAAAGGGGAACTAGAATTACGTTTCCTTAGCCTCTTATCTAGGCACATTTTCAAAACAGTGTATCTCCTTCCTATTTTCTCTTTTTTTCTATTTTTGAGATGGAGTCTCACTCTCTCTCCCAGGGTGGAGTGCAGTGGTGCAATCTCAGCTCACTGCAACGTCCGTCTCCCGGGTTCAAGCGATCCTCCTGCCTCAGCCTCCTGAGTAGCTGGGAATACAGGCACACACCATCATGCCCAGCTAATTTTTGTAATTTTAGTAGAGACAGGGTTTCACCATATTGGTCAAGCTGGTCTCGAACTCCTGACCTCAGGTGAGCCAGCGTGCCCTGCCTCCTTCCTATATATCATTTTGCTTTTCGTCCTCAGTATCCATAGCTTTCCCCGGGTACCTAGCGCCCCCTGCTGTCCCTCTCTCGATGACCTTGCTCCTCCTCCATTAGCCCAGCAAATGTTTATTAGATGCCTACAGAATGCAAGAACAAGCTTAATAACCCAAATGATATTGGTGAGATTTCAGGTAAAAGGGAAAATCCATATAGAAACTCATCTTTTGTTTTGTTTTTTATTTATTTCTCATTCCACAAAATATCTGAAGCGTGATCTTTTGTTCTCTAAGATCTTCTAGTTAGATCGTAAGTAATTTAAAAGGCATATTTGCCCTATAAACCAGTCTGGTTTTCTAGGTGGCTGTGGACAGAAGCCGGAGCCCAGTCTGAACTTGAGACCGCGTTGGGGATTGGCGGGTTTGGGTACCCCGCCATGGCCGCCATCAATGCACGCAAGATGAAATTTGCTCTGCTGAAAGGCTCCTTCAGTGAGCAAGGCATTAACGAATTTCTCAGGTAATTCGTTTTCTTAGGTTGTTTATTGTTTTTTCTCTTTGTTTGGTTCTGTCGTAGTTTTTTATTTGAAACTAGGTGTATATATAAGCCAGGTAATAAATGGGATTTCAAAATGCAAACTAATTCCAGAGAATTTAGAGTTTTTAAATTGTCTCCCTATTCGTTCCTTTTTCCTTGGAATACTCTGCTTGCTGGATGAGGAGACTGCATTGCTGCCCTCAGGCCGCCCTGTGTGCCATTCTGTGCATCTGGCCCTGGGCTCTTCCTAATTCTCATAAAAGCCTCATGGGGCCGGTACGGTGCCTCACGCCTGTAATCCCAGCACTTTGGGAGGCTGAGGCGGGCGGATCACCTGAGGTCAGGAGTTCGAGACCAGCCTGACCAACGTGGAGAAACCCTGTCTCTACTAAAAATACAAAATTAGCCGGGCATGGTGGCACATGCCTGTAATCCCAGCTACTTGGGAGGCTGAGGCAGGTGAATCACTTGAACCCGGGAGGCGGAGGTTGCAGTGAGCTGAGATCACGCCATTGCACTCCAGCCTGGGCAACGAGAGTGAAACTCCGTCTCAAAAAAAAGCCTCATGGGCTAGAGGCAGCCCTGTCTGTCCATCCTCACCCTCATACTCATTGTAATCTTGACCTTGGGTAAATGTAGTTTCCATTTCTGGGCACTTGGCTTTGGAATGTAGTTATTTATTTGAAAATGGGTGTTCTTAAGTGACTCCAACAATGTGCAAACAACATGATAGGTTCTCAAAACTCTAAAACAAATATACAGAGCTCTCTACCCTGCTCTGCTATTCAACTCACCTAATCATCTTTTAGGCAATACAAGGCATTGACCTAAAGAGGTTTTGCTTTCCATTCTTGCTTGCTTCCGTGTTCATTTCTTAGCTGCTGTGTAAGAGATGTTCAGCACACAAAAGGCAGTTGAGAGGCTTGTGATGAATAATGACTAGGAAGAATAGCATGTGAAAGCCTGCAGTGCTCTTGCTGCCAGTCTTCCTACTTGATGCAGAAGTGTGTGTGTGTGCTGTGTGGAGAGTAGGAGCTCCAAAGTCAGGCACCTCAGTCCCAGCTCTGCCTTGAGTAGTGAAGTGGGAGGCATGGAGGAACCCTGTGAGATCAGCTGCTTCAGCCTCTGCCTAGGGGTAGACCGTGGCTCCTTCCCTCCCAGCTCTCACTCGTAGTTGGTTAGTATGCTTGATGGGTATTTTATTTTATTTTATTTTATTATTATTTTTTTTTTCCTGAGACAGAGTCTCGCTCTGTTGCCCGGGCTGGAGAGCAGTGGCACAATCTCGGCTCACTGCAACCTCCACCTCCCAGGTTCAAGTGATTCTGTTGCCTCAGACTCCCGAGTAGCTGAGATTACAGGCGCCTGCCACCACACCTACCTAATTTTTGTAAAGTAGAGATGGGGGTTTCACCAGGTTGGCCAGGCGGGTCTCGAACTCCTGACCTCAGGTGATCCACCCGTCAGCCTCCCAAAGTGCTGGGATTACAGGTGTGAGCCACCACGCCTGGTCAAGGGGGCGTTTTCTTTAAGAAGTTTATGGGGCCAGGTGTGGTGGCTCACGCCTGTAATTCCAGCACTTTGGGAGTCTGAGGCAAGCAGATCACTTGAGGCCAGGAGTTCGAAACCAGCCTGGCCACCATGGTGAAACCTCATCCCTACTAAAACTACAAAAAATAAGCTGAGTGTGGTGGCATGGGCCTGCAATCCCAGCTACTCGGGAGGCTGAGGCACAAGAATCACTTGAACCCAGGAGGTGGAGGTTGCAGTGAGCTGAGATCGCGCCACTGCACTCCAGCACGGGCCACAGAGCGTGACTTGGTCTCAAAGAAAAAGAAGTTTGTGGACTGCGTAAGTTTGTGATTGTCATAGAGGAGTAGTTATTAAATCATGAAGTCAGAATGTGAATATAAATATATCATGTAATTTTTTTTTCTAGTAATAGGTTTATTCTAGCCCATTGGTGCCATAGATTGTTAGTCTAGCTCCATTATTCTAGGAGTTGTTTGCTGAACTCTAAATATTTGTGCCCACAGTATTTCTAGCTCTGCTTTCCCAACAGCTCGATTACACCAGGTCTGGTATGTTTCAAGTACTGATGTTTCTACACATATGCACCCCGCTCCCTGCCATCCCACTGGAACCAGTCGCGTCACTGCTGACATGCTTCCTCTGTACAGGTTCACAGCAGTCTTACAAAACTCACAGGCAGCCCATGTTCTGGATCAACTTTGATAATTATTTATGTACTTCATTTGTATTTCAGCAAATGCTCTGCTATTTTTAAAAACTTACTGATAGCAACTGACTGTATCTGATGCAGGGGGCTGAGCTGGGAATGTTGAATCTGGTTGTAATGTTGTCCGTGATTAAAAAGATAATGTTCTTGAGGTGTTTCTCAGGAATGTACTGCAGCAAGAAAGAAGAAATGTCTCAGCATAAACAAAGTAGGCAGACTGTTATTTTTAAAGTTGTTTATTCTTCTGCACCAGCAGTCCATAATAAATGTGTGTGTGTGTTTTGGTCATTTTTCCCCAAGGGAGCTCTCTTTTGGGCGTGGCTCCACGGCACCTGTAGGAGGCGGGGCTTTCCCTACCATCGTTGAGAGAGAGCCTTGGGACGGCAGGGATGGCGAGGTGAGTGTCCGGGAGGGAGGCTGTGCGGGCAGCGGTCCTGGTTTACTGTCTTGAGGCTGTGCATCTCTGCACCTGGAGTCAGGTCCTCTCCATCAGACCTCAGCCCTGGTGCACCCGTGGGCCTTTTAAGAGGTTCTTCTCTGAAGACCCTTCATCTTCCTTATCACAAGTTTAAGTGCTGCATGTCATTTGATATTCTCGACAGCCAAGACACTTTCCAGTAGTCAGGTTGCTTTCCTTAAAGTGAACATTTAACCTGGAATTCATTTACTTTATCTTAGAAAAACAGAAAATGATAGCTTTGAAATTAGCACTTATTTCTGCACTGTTGTGTCCCACCCTCCTCAAAAGGACATGTTCGGTGGCTTCCAGTGTTAAAGTGGTGAGTGATGTGATGTCGAAATGTTTCACCGGAGTTCTTAGCTTTTCCTTCCGTATAATCGTAGGTGCGAAGGTCCGGGTAGGGGTCAGACTGAGGAGAACCTGGGTTGTCAGCAGGGGTAGCTCTGGAGAGTTGCGCTTCTGTGAAATGAGATGTTGGCCTTCCAGGGCGTCCCCTCTGCAGATCTAACAGTGGCTTTCTGTCCCCCAGCTTCCCGTGGAGGATGACATTGACCTCAGTGATGTGGAACTTGATGACTTGGGGAAAGATGAGTTGTGAGAGCCACAACAGAGGCTTCAGACCATTTTCTTTTCTTGGGAGCCAGCGGATTTTTCCAGCAGTGAAGGGACGTTGTCTACAATCAGATGACTCTCCCAGTGGCCTTTTAACCAAGAAGTAGTACTTGATTGGTCATTTGACAACACTGCAACAGTGAACTTTTGCATCTCAAGAAAACATTGAAAAATTCTATGAATTGTTGTAGCCGGTGAATTGTATCGTATTCTGTCACATTAATATTTTGAAGAACACTTGGCTGTCGAAACGTTTTTCCCTCTCTCTGACTGCTGCTTGGATGTTCTTGGAGGCTGTTTCTTATGTATGGGTTTTTTAATGTGATTCCTTCATTTGAATATTAATGGCTTTTTCCATTAAAGAATAAAATATTTTGGATAATGCCGATAAATGTATGAAATTAGTATCTACATCATAAATTCAGAGTGATGTTTAGCAGTAAATTAATATTTTGAAGTGATACACAGATATCTTTCCTCCCCCATAAACTTTTTTAAACAAAAAACAAGATCTCTTTGCTTCAGATGGCGCCATCAATGCCCCCCACAACAGAGATTTTACATGGAAACCGGGCTCAGTGAGCACTGATTTCCCGCCCAATATTTGTCTTTGGGCTGTCTCTAGTGACTAATTATTAAGGAATCTAGCTGGTTATACAGTGCAAGGCTTTCTATGTTGTTATGAACCTCAGAATAGCCATTAAGACATGAAATACAGCAGCAGGTTACCAGTGCGAACACGTAGTTCGCATTTATGTAAAACATTCAGGAAAATGAAGTTTTGAATTTGTTAGAACCTTCAAAGGACTTGAGAGCATTTTATTGTAACTTAAAAAAAATAAATACAACTGTCACTAACTTTTGTGAGCAATTTCTCTGAAAAAAATCTTAGTTCTGTAAGACATTTGAACCATTCTCTGGCTAAATAGTCTGCACGAACATGAGACACAGGTGCCAGCTGGCCTTTCTAGTCGAGAAGACTAAGGTCAATATGGAAGTAGACATAGGGAAAATAGTCTTGGTTATTGAGTTGCAGTCCCGGGATCTCCACAGATGCCTACAAAAGAAGACATGGTCATGCTCTAAGTGCATAAACTAGTTTCCTGTCTTACACTTTCATTTTTGAGGAAGCTCTCCAGGCACCAAGCGTACATTCTGCTCTGCATAGCTGTGGCCCACCCGCTCCAGCCCTCTCCTTGCTGTGCTTTAATGTGTATGACATGTAGATTTTCATAACAGGCTAACAAATTGTTTTGTTTTTGAGACAGTCTCTGTCACCCAGGCTGCAGCGCAGTGGCATGATCTCAGCTCACTACAACCTCTGCCTCCTGGGTTCAAGCAATTTTCCTGCCTCAGACTCCCAAGTAGCTGGGATTACAGGCATGCACCACCACTCCTGGCTAATTTTTTGCTGCTGCTGTTTTTTTTGAGACAGAGTCTTTCTCTGTTGCTAAGCTGGAGTACAGTGGCGTGATCTCAGCTCACTGCAACCTCCGCCTCCCAGGTTCAAGCGATTCTCCTGCCTCAACCTCCCAAGTAGCTGGACTATAGGCACACACCACCACACCCAGCTAATTTTTGTATTTTTAGTAGAAACTAAATTCACAATGTTGGCCAGGTTGGTCTCGATCTCTTGACTTCATGATCCGCCCGCCTCGACCTCCCAAAGTGCTGGGATTACAGGCGTGAGCCACTGTGCCCGGCCCAATTTTTTTTTAGTAGAGACAGGGTCTTACCATAACCCTTGACCTCAAGTGATCCGCCTGCCTCCCAAAGTGTTGGGATTACGGGTAGATACCAGTTTTTTGAAAGTATCTCCCATTCTACGGTAAGATGCTGACCTTACTGTGGAAATACTGCTGTTTCTGGATACCTACATCCAGTATACTTGTAGCGGCTACTTCATCCAGATGTCGGAAGACAGAGTTTAGAACCTCTCTTAAACGCTTGGTGGATGACTTCTTAAGCGGCTGCAGGAGCACTGCCTGGAAGTTCACTGGTAGTCCATACCTTTTCAGATAGACAAAATATGTCAGTTACTACTAGAAATGCGAAGACGGATAGAAGGAATCTGACAAGACACGAGTACGTTCCAAAGATGAAACGCTTCAACCAACAGTCAAACTCGAGCAAAATGCTTAGGGTAGCGGTGATCTCTGGATAGAAAAAGCTCTAGAATTTGCTAACCCCCTTCTGATACCTAGTTTTCAACTGTAGAGCCAAAGAGGGTATCCCTCGGGCCATGAGTGACAGTTCATGGCGCGTGCTCAAGCTGAATGCAGGTAGTTGGACTGAACATTTGGACTCAAGGCGTTTGTCTAAAACCCAGCTCGGCCATTTTTCTCCACTAAAGGAGAGGCAAAAATCTGGTTTCTCAAGGTGGTTATTATTTTCGCTGAGTTCTTGGGTAGATAGAAAACATTTTTAATGTACCTAGTTGGATACCTGAGCCCATGAAAACCAGTTGTTGGGGTGAGCTGTTCCTGTGGTTTTAGCCCACACAAAATACAGCAAGTGCTGTAAATGGCAAACAGTTTGTGATTGTTGAAGTATTTTTATACTCTCAGGGAGCAAAGGACTGGATGTTCAGTAGTTAGCACCTGTGTTCCCTTGGGATCCCTAGGCCTTGATGTGAACTCCATCTCTACAGGCCCTTTCACCCACCTATTGCTCTGATTTATCCAGAGTGGGGTCTGCCATATGCATCAGTCCTGGGAGCAGGACCTATTAATATTACTAAGGTTTTACTTTTTTTTTTTTTTTTTGAGACGGGGTCTCGCTCTGTCACCCGGGCTGGAGTGCAATGGCACGATCTTGGTTCACTGCAACCTCTGCTTCCCGGGTTCAACCTGTTCTCCTGCCTCAGCCTCCCAAGTAGCTGGGATTACAGGCACCCGCCACCACCACACCAGGCTAATTCCACCATAGTCATTACCAAGTTGTCCTGGAGGTTGTTTATCCATCTAGGACCCATCCTTAAAGCTGAAAGCACTCCTCCCCCAGCAGCATGGCTTGAGGGAGAAGCCTGTCTGTTGTGCTTGCTGTGGTGGGTGGTAGGCACCCTAGGTCCTTAATGGACATGCACTCCAGCCCTTAACCTTTCCTCAGCCTCTGCGCTCTTCCGACCCTTCCCGGCCCTGTCCTGTCTCTGTGGCACCCATCCTGCGAATAATGCCTTCTCCATTCCGCCCAGAACAAGACCCCATGCCAGGCGCAGTGGCGCGCACCTGTAATCCCAGCACTTTGGGGAACCAAGGCAGGCTGGATCACCTGAGGTCAGGAGTTCAAGACCAGCCTGGCCAACATGGTGAAACCCCATCGCTACTAAAATTACAAAAATTACATGCCTATAATCCCAGCTACTTGGAAGGCTGAGGCAGGAGAATTGCTTGGACCCAGGAGGCGGAGGTTGCAGTGAGACAAGACTGTGCCACTGCACTCCAGCCTGGGCGACAGCAAGAGTCCATTTCAAAACAAAAAGGACCCCAGGAGCGACTGGCCCATCCCCCTCATTCTCCCCAAGGCCCCGCCCCATGCTGTGCCCTCCTCTGGTCAAGGCCCTGCCCCTGCTGTTCCCTGCAGTCACTTGGTGGGGAGCCGTTCATGCTGAGGGACTGTAGGTAAGACACCCTCGACCCTCCGCTGTAGGGCTCGGCCCTTCTACTGTCGCTTCCCTTGATCAGCGCCCCGCCCGGCTAACATAAAAACGCCCACTGCACGCAGCTCTCATGCCGCCGGGCTTCCCGAGAGCCAGATCTGAAAGTCTGATGCCTGTCACTCACTCCTTTAACCACTGTCCGCCAGCGTCTCGCACCGATGCCCTCCTACCAGCCAAATCCCAGGGACAGCTACAGCCTTCACTTTTCCTTCTCGCACCTCCTCTTGCTCCTTAAATGCTGGGTGTCCCTGTGGTACTGTTTCCCACTGCCACGCTCCCTGGATGATCCGTCCACTTACCTGCTACTGGTAATTGCCTATCATCTCCCCCGACCAGACCCAAGGATCCAGCCACCTGGCGGGGCTCAGCAGCCTCGCCGCTGCCCCACCCCCCACCTGTTTTCGTCCTGGGTCACTTAAGCAGCTGGGATTTGTCATCCATGAGGATGAACCCCACCTCCTCAACCAAGGACTGTGCCTGCGTCACACTGGCTTTATTCAGTCAACAAACATTTCATGTCTACTCTTTGTCCAACTCTGTGCTGGGTGGCAGAGGTACTGAGAGAAGCCAGACTCAGTGCCCAGCACAGGGACAGAAGGAAAGCGGCTCCTGAGACAGGAAGATAGCAGCAAGCGCCAAACGGGGCGCAGACCGACAGGAGCCCAAAGCAGCAGGGGCGTGTGCGCTTTGCCTCCTCCCTCCTTGCCTCTGCGCTTACTCTGAAGAACTGGTTAGCTCAATATCTGTTTTCTTAGATTATGGTACCCCCATACAATGGAATATGATGAAGCCATTAAAAAGGATCAAGTAGCTCTACTCATATTGATCTGCGAGGATCCCATAAAGCAAATGGAATAAGCAAGGTGCAGAACATTGAATCCCCTTTTGTGGGAGTCGCAAGTGTCCCAAAGCCATTTGCCGCAATTATCTCTGGACAGTGAGACTCAGGAACTTCTCACAGTACCTGCTTCTGAACTTGACTTCTTGAGAATTAGTTTTGCATGTGTTTTTAGGGATAATACTTCGCTTTATTGAGCCTAAGTACTAAGTACTAAGTATTAAGGAGGTCGGTCTCGACCTCTCTCTTGGGCAAATGTGCATCCTGAAAGGCATGGACAGGCTTCACTGTGTTAGGACTGAGAGCAACTGACTTCTGAGCTGGGCAGGGTTGATGTGAGGCTGTGTATACTAGAGATGGCTAGAATACTCCCAGGAGCTGGGTACACCCTCCAAGCCAATGCTGCCATCTGTGTCGGTATAGGCTTTTGAGATGGGCGTGCACAGGTGTGCATGGGTGCAGGTGTGGGTGTGGTGCATGTGCAGGGCAGAAGAACGAGGAACCAGGGTCAGATCTGTACCTGGGCAGACCACACACTGACAGCCTCATGGAAGGTGAATTGGAGGCCAAGAACAAAGAGGACGCTTATGGCAACAGCCAGGCCGGTGGGGCCAGACCCGTGGAAGCGAGAGTACAAAGGCAGAGTGGACCGGGCCTATCACAGGTGTCCAAACTGACCCTGAAGTTTGGGGTCTGATGAGGGGAAGGATGAGGAGGCCACTGGCAGAAACAGGGAAGCAGAGGAAGGGGTGTGGGAGGGGAGATGAGACAGATACCCAGATAAAGCCTACGGCAGGCGGATGGCAGGACCTAGAGACCAGGGAACGTGGGCAGGAAAATGAGGGAAAGCAGGAGACATCGGCCAGGGGGATGGCAGAGAAGGATGAGGAGCTCTTCAGTGCAGACGGGGAAGGGGTCCGCAGGTCACACAGAGGGTCCCGGGGCTGGAGGAGTCCAGAAGGCTGTGAGTCAGAGCAGCAGGCAGGGCACAGCGCTCCGTGATGCGGGACGCAGCCACACAGGCCAGGAAAGTGGCCTTCAAAGGCGTTTCCTCTCTGATTCCACTTTCATAAAAATCTGTAAGAACCATGTATCTATTCATAAAAAACCAACAAACCCTACGCCTAAAGGGGCACCCACTGGGATGCCGGCAGTTTCTCTCCTGGTGTTAAAATTACAGGAGATTTTTATTCACTCTGCTTACCTAGAGTTGCCAGATTTCCCACAGTGAAGCAATTTTTGGTTTTTTTTGCCGGAGTTTCTCTTGTTGCCCAGGCTGGAGTGCAGCGGTGCGGTCTGGGCTCACTGTCATCTCCGCCTCCCGGGCTCAAGTGATCCTCCCACCTCAGCCTCCCAAGTAGCCAGTACTACAGGCCCACGCCACCACTCCTGGCTAATTTCTTATTTTTAGTAGAGGTGAGGTTTCGCCATGTTGGCCAGGCTGGTCTCACGGTCCATGACAGGGGCCTATCTTTTGTTTTTTTTTTTTAATTAGGCAAAGGCCAGGCGTGGTGGCTCACACCTGTAATCCCAGCACTTTGGGAGGCTGAGGCGGGCAGATCACCTGAGGTTAGGAGGAGCTCGAGACTAACCTGGTCAACATGGCAAAACCCTGCCTCTACTAAAAATACAAAAAAGTAGCTGGGCATGATGGCGGGCCCCTGTAATCCCAGCTACTAGGGAGGCTGAGACAGGAGAATCTCTTGAACCCGAGAGGCGGAGGTTGCAGTGAGCCAGGAATGCGCCATTGCACTCTAGCCTGGGCAACAAGAGTGAAACTCCATCTCAAAAAAAAAAAAAGGCAAAATAAGCTCTGTTGCTGGTGGTGTGGTTTTGGTTTTCTCTCTGGACTGCCCTGAGGGGTGGGGCTTCCAGGCCGAGGATGGAGGCCGCCCAAGAACCCTTTCCGGGAGCCACTGGGGCCCTGTAGGCTTCATGAGGGTGGGGACAGGAGCCAGCCAGAGGGTCCACAAGGGGCATGCGGGTAGGGCGCTGGGGAGAACCCAGATGACACTTGCCCCAAGCGTGGCAGGAGCGGCGGGAGCAGACAGCAGGGGACGCAGGGCTGAGGGAGGGTGTATTTGACTCGGAACTGAGCATGTCGCCAGCTGCCACAGTCACAGACAGGAGACGGGTGGAGGGTGGAGAGAAGGCAGGAGCTGGGGCGCCCCCATAGCTCCCGCAGACCCTGTCCATCCTCAGTTCAGCCCCAGCCAGGGCATCACTGCCACGCACCTCAGCACGGACTCCACAAACACTCTGAGGGCCTTCACGTGGATCCAGGCAATGAAGGCTTCGCTGAAGTTCACCTTGAGCCAGCGCAGCAGGGGGCCCTGAAAGGACAGAAGAGCCCGGTGACCCCTCCTGGCCACCCCGCCCAACACAGAGCCAAGAAAGGACTTGGGTTTTGACAGAGCGCGCCCTGAGCTGAGAAGAAGTACCCAGGAGCCAGAAGCAGAGAGTTGGTCGGACCAGCCCTGGGTCAGGCTCAGGACCTCGAGGTCCAGGGCGCCTGGTGCCGGGGAAGCTCAGCAGGCCAGCCACCCGGTGCATGCACGGGGCCACCGCAGACCGCAGCACGGGGAGCTGGGCAGCCCCTGACCTCGGGGCTTTCAGCAGGCAGCCAGGGGCTTCTGCCTGACACTGCACAGCCAGGGAGTCCACCTTCTCAGAGGCTCTGCCCCCAGGGTCCTGGCATCAACCACAGCAGCGCCTCCCCTCACAGCCCCACCTCACGTGGCCACAGGAGCAGCCACTGATCCTGGTGTGGCAGGTCCTCCTGGGAGCTCAGAGTCTTGAAGCAAGAGCTCCGAGCTCCATTCCGACACTGCAACTGCCCACAAAGGTCAGGGGTGGGTTCAGCAAGGGCAGCCAAGGCAGGAGAGCTGAGCTGCTGACCACCACCCCAGCCAGGGCCCTGCTTGTGCCAGCTCCAGCCACCTCCAGCCAGGGCCCTGCTTGTCCCAGCTCCAGCCACCTCCAGCCAGGGGCCCGGGGAGAGGCGCCCTGGCCGACAAGCACCCTTCACTCCTGGCGGGGGCAGCTCCAAAGAGGCCCTGCAGATTAGGAGGAAGGCATGATTCTGGCTCCTCAAATTTAAGACCTCAAAAGCCATGTTAGAGAACAGAAAAATGCAAGGATTCATTTTCCCAGAAGGCGCCTGAGCTGGCGAGGAGATGCGAGCCAGGGACCCCGGGGTTCCCGGGGCGTTGCTTACCTCACCCTCGCCCTCACTCTCTCTCTCTCTGTCGGTCTGCCCCGCAGCGGGCCTATCAGGGTTACCTAGCGGGGTTACCTTAACCTTGTGGTCCGGGAAGGTGGATGATCCCTTTTTAAGAGCAACACAGGAAGTTTGCTAAAGGCACAGAAATGATTTATTAATCTTTCAGCAAACATGCATCACAAACAAATAAATCATTCTCATCGCCTGAAAGGCACGCGAGAACAAGCTCAGGAATTCAGGCCCACCCTCGAGACTCGCGTGCTGGCTAGACTAGAGATGTGGTAGGCGCTCGCCGGGCTCCCAGAGTGGTGAAGGCAGAGGGAGGGGCAGCGTTAAGGCCTTTGGGTTCCATATTCCAAGCACAGAGCCAATCTCTGGCAGAGGGGTCAGTCCTGAGCCCCCTCCCCTTGCTTGGGCTTGGCCAGGACCCCCATCGCAGGCCGACCAGGACAGCACCGGGAGGCATTAGTGGAAACGGCTGTCTGCGCTCTGTCAAGGTGGCTCCACCATGCCCAGCCACAGATGCCTTCCTGGCATTCGGGGGGCACCTCGGCGTGCACAGTGCAGGAGATGAGTTGGGCATGCATTTAGGACACTCACCCTTTCCCATTCTGTCTCTGCAAACAGGTGGGAAACAGGGAAATCCCACTTTGCTCTCAAAGTACACTCAAACCCAGGGCCTGGCCTGTCCCTCTGGTTGACGAGTGACAAAAAGGATGCAAGACGTTTGGTCATGCACTTCTAGATAGGCCAGAGGGACCAGATTCTCAGGAGGCCAGCAGGGCTGACCCGAGCTGAGAGTGCCTCCACCTCCCACCCACAGAGACCCTGGCAGGGCCCCCAGGGCAGTGTGGGCAAAGGCTATGCCGCGTAAACTACGCCAGCTGGGAACCTGAGCCACATGTGGCAGGTGGCAGGCTCCTGTGTGTCACCCTGTTCCCTGCGGATCTGGCAGGCCCGGGTCAGTGCCCAGGTGGGTGCCAAAGGCCCTGCTTCGCCACCTGTCCCCAGCAGGGCCTCCCAACGTGGAGGCTGCCATGGTCTAGCCCCATCCAGACATACTGTGCAGGGGGGCGGCACCAAGACTGAATCAAGCTGGGAAAAAGCCTGGCTAAAGAGAACAGCCGGCGCATGCCCAGGTAACGAGGGTTTCAGGTGAGCTGAGGCTAAGGAAGGAAATGCTTTGGAGCTTAGCTTTCACTGGGGGAAATCTCTCCTGCCTGGTATCTGGGTCTGTGGGCCCTGCTCTGAGGACTGGAGCACCCAAAGGGCCAGGGGTCCCCAGCTCCAGCTCGGGTCCTTGTCCTCAGGAGGGGACACCCACCCCACAGGCTCAGCTGGAGCCCAGCAGCCTCTGGCTCTGAGGCGTGTCTCACTTGCTGTGCACACACATGTCCATACACACACACACGCACACACACACGTGTGAGCGCCCTGTGCTTCTGTTTTGGGGAAGGAGGGTGAAAAATCCCTATATAAACGTTTATATTATCAGCTCTTGTTTCCTTCCTAAAGGGAAACAGACCAGACCAGAAGGGCTCCGAGAACCCCACTATGGGGGCTCCGTGACTTGGTTTGCTCGTGAGGGGGGGCTGCTCATCTCCAGTCCCTGCGAAAAGGTCGCTAGGTCGCTGACAGAGAGGCCAAGCCCCCAGGAGCCCGGAGTACACACTTGAAGGGACGGACACCGGGAGCACTCCCTGCCTGCCTGCGGCCATGGCACTCCTCCCCACGGAGGTCCTCACAGCGCCGTGTTCACACAGCGACTGCCCCCCAAAGGCCTCAAGAACATTCTATTCATTCCTCCCGCCCCGTCACTAGAGGCTGGACTGGAAGGTGCTCCACAGAACCCTCCCTGCTGGGCACGGGGAAGAAGGGGCCCAAAAACACTCCACCCAGACAGGCTCCTTCCAAGTGGCCCGGCCTAGCCCAGCACCGCGGCGGGAGGACTGAGTATGGAAGATGCCCACTTCACGGAGCGGCGGGGTGACCTTCCCACAGCTCTCCTGCTCACATTTCAAATGCGAGCATCTAGTTGTGCTCCCTGGGGAGCTAAGCTGTCCTCCTACATGAAGGGTTTCTGAGTGGCTGTGGTCGGAAGTCTCCAGTTAAGCACCCCTCCGTGCTAAGGACACAGGGGAGGTCAATACAGGGGCTAGTGGTGCCCTGGAAACCTCACGGCTGTGATCTCCAAGGCCCAGCACTGCCCACCCTGCACACAGATGCTCCCGCCTGGAGCCCACGTGCCTCGCTCAGTTCCAGGAAGGCCTGGCGGGTCATCCGGCCAGCTTGCCTCTCAGAGCCTCAGTTTCTCATCCGTACTGTGGAGTTAGCAACCCCTTCCTGGCAGGGCAGTGCTGGGGACCGTGAGAGCGTGTGTGGAAAGCGCTGGCTGGGGGGACCCCCGGCTCCCGCCCCCGGCTCCCGCCCCCAGCTCCCCCGCCCCCAGCTCCCCTGCCTGGGCTCCTTTGTGCTCACCGTCCCCCCTCCCAGACCCTGCTCAGACGTCCCCTGAGAACAGACGGTCCCCGTGGTGTCTGGTGGGGACAATGAGAGGGAGAGCTGGAGACTTGGGAGGACTCTTCTATCCCCAGGCCACTGGGTAGGGGCAGGAGGAGCTGCTCAATCACATACTCACATACTGTTGCTTCTTATCGGACAGTAATCTGGCCATCTCCTCCCTTTCCCTTTTAATTTCTTTCTCATCATAGTAAAATTCACGAACAGTGAACCTTAAAACAAGCAAACCATGGGCTTTCGCTCAGCAGCTTGCCAGAGGGGCAGAGACGCCCCACAGCACGAGAGGAACGAAACCCGGAGGACACTTACTTGTTTTCTTTGGCCTTGGTTTTGAAGTCTTCGATCACTTTTCGAAACAGAGTCACAGTGAAAAGGCCCCCCTCCTTGTCCTCAGTAATGAGTCTGTTGGAGAGAAGCATCTGTTGGCTGGACTCACTGCCAGGCCCTGTGTGGGACTGGGGCTCAGAGGCCCCCGGGGCCTAGTGGCCTGCACTTGGGGTCCCTGGCAGCAGTCGAGGGCTGGGGAACCAAGGACACTCCCTGAGATTTCCTAACCCCTGGCTGCCTGCCCTTCCCTCCTGCCCCTTCCACACTCCTCCAGGCTAAGGCCTCAGCGGGGCTCGGGGTGCAGGCAGTGCAGGGGCCTGGGCTTCAGCGCCCGCTTATCAAATGCCTGAGAGACCAAGCCCCCCTGGGCCGCCGTCACCTCAGCTGGCACGGGGTGTCCCTGGCTCTGATGTGCCGCCTGATAGTGAAGCGGAGTGGTGGAAACTATCTCACAAGGTCCATTTCACTTGCAATGTCACAAAGTCCTAACGGAACACAGCCTCCCAAGCACGTCTCAACCCAGGACCACTGGGGCCACTGTCTCTAGCAACTCAGGAATTCTTGGGGCCAGCAGTCTAAGCATCTCTGAGTCCTACTGGCCAGAAGACCGGAAGTGGGAGCCCTCAGGGCCAGACACGATCTGACAGCATGCTAGCAGGGTCACCCTTTCTGTTTCTCACAGCCCCTGCCCATAGGGGCTGCCCCCAGGCTCCAGGTATTTCTAGAGTCATCTGTGCAGGCTTTCAGGTGGCTGGTGACAATGAAGGGCCTGAGGCTCTGGTCTGGGAGGCCAGGCCACCTACCAAGGCAGCCGGTCCTGGCACGGATCCCCGGTGCTTGGTATTTAAGAGCAGTGAATGCTCCTGCCAGCACACCAGCTTCCAGGGCCAGCTCCTCTGCTCCGGAGCCTTACTCCTCTTCCCTGCCTCCCCTGTAACCTCGGGCTGTGATTGTCCTGTTCCTTGCACCTTTCAATTTAGATCCCGATGATTGCCATCTCCTGGCCCTGGGAGAGCCCCTTCCCCCAGCAGGGGCCCCAAGGCAAAGGCCTCGCACCAGGAGCTCTGTATGTGAGGAGTCAGATGAATAGGCTGGCTGCCTGACGAGCATTCTAAAAACCTCTTCAAATTACAAACCATCTCAGCCATACAAAAAGGTATAGAGGAAAATGAGTACCATGCTGGGCATGGTGGCTCACACCTGTAATCCCAGCACTTTGGGAGGCTGAGGCAGGCGGATCACCTGAGGTCAGGAGTTCGAGACCAGCCTGACCAACATGGTGAAACCCCACCTCTACCAAAAATATAAAAATTAGCTGGCTGTGTTGGTGCACGTCTATAATCCCAGTTACTTGAGAGGCTGAGGTAGGAGAGTTGCTTAAACCCGGGAGGCCGGAGGTTGCAGTGAGCTGAGCTCGTGCCACTACACTCCAGCCTGGGCAACAGAGTGAGCCTCCGTCTCAAAAAAAAAAAGGAAAACGCGCAGCTTTGGATCAGCCACCCAAAACCAAAGCTCCAGCCGGTGAAAGCCCACGTGCTCCTACCCCATATGTGCCACTCACTCCATCCTGGGCCACCACCATCCTAAGCGTGGCCTTCCTCCCCGTGACCCATCCCCACAATTCCCTGTGCACCTGTGGGTGCCCGAGTCACACCCATTTCACATCCATTTCACACCCATTTCACATCCATTTCACACCCATTTCACATCAATTTCACACCCATTTCACACCCATTTCAGACCCATTTCACATCCATTTCACACCCATTTCACATCCATTTCACACCCATTTCACATCCATTTCACACCCATTTCACACCCTCTGCTCCTCTGCAGCAGCCTTTCCCCTTCTTCCCTCCTGACACACGGGGCCGGCATCCTTGGTTCCCCCGCCACGCAGTGTCCCATGATGGACACAGTTTGTAACCTGCCCTCCGCCTGTCACTCTGCCAGGGTCCACTGGCCACTCCTGCTCTGGCCCCCGCAGGCCACACGCCGAGGCTGCTTTCCCTCCCGGCTCCCGCTGTGGCCATTCACTGGGCAGCTGCTCAGGCCAGGGCTGGCTTCCCAGGGAAGAATTGATGCTGAGCCGAGAATGCAGAGCCAGAATGCAGCAGAGGCAATGGCATGGAGAGGCTGCTCAGCCAGGTGGGGCCAGGGCAGCCTTCCCAGGGCAGGGGCAGGGAAGTGAAGTTTTGAAAGAGGAAGGCACTCTGGCATGTGACAAGGTGTGCGACGCTGACAGAATTCCAGGCCAAGGGACAGGAGAGGGCCCAGGTGTGGAGGGCTGGGGGGCCTTACACCCTCAGGGCATGTTTGGTGGTTGGGTGCCCTGAAGCACCCAGGGGCCCTGGGAGCAAGCTGGGGTCTCACTTACTTGGTTGATCGAGGGACCACCATATCTGAGAGAGATTCGTAGGTTTTTTGCCATTGTGAATAGTTTGGTCTGCAAGAATACAGAATCATTCTGTAATTTTTTGCAGAAAAGGCTCTTGGGTGTCCTGAGTGCTTAGGAAGCTGCACACCCCTTTTCCTGAGGGCCTTAAGGTGAGCAGGGATGGGGTCAGAGGGAGCCCTAACCTCCCCTGAGGCCCGGCTGTGCCCATGGGGAATCCCCTGCCCAGCCTCCCCAGGGTACCCACAGAAGTCCCTTTGTGAAGAGATATGGATGCACTTGGGGCTCACTAACAACCATCTAATCTGGGCCCCGTGTGATCTTGGGCAAGCTAACCAGCCTCTCCAGCCTCAGGACAATGGGAATCACCAGACTTCCCAGGCCTTTGGTGAGGATGAAGTAAAATAATGTCGACCACGCGTTGGGTATATAGAAAGCGCTCAATAAATGGCTGCTTCTGTCATGGCCACAACCTCTATCACCCAACAACTGTCCCTGCTGGCACAGCCGCGGGCAGGGCCCCGTGAAGGAATGACTGTTTCCCGGGAACTGGGGCTGGGCAGGGAGCATCTTCGTCCACTCTGCCCAAGTCACCAACGGGCCCACCTTCCTCTCTACTGGGCAGGGCCAGTTGCCTTCGTGATCGCTCGGCACAGGCTAAGTGAGACACCCACTTGCCCGGCACTCACTTGGGGACGATGACCAGAAGTGTGATGAGATACTCAGAATCCAGCACGAAGTCCTCCTTGCTCACAATATCACTCAGTGTCCGGGTGAAGAGGTTCCCCCTAAAAGGCAGGTGGAACAAAGGGTGTGAACGGTGTGAGCAGAAAGGGACACAGTGACCCCACAAACCCATGCCCAGGCACTGGGGCTGAGGGGCAGTTCTCAAGGCAGGGTGGGCACCAGGGATGCTGGAGCCTAGAAGAACACAGCAATTCTCAGCAATGATTGCTCCCCGCCAACCGCAGGGCCAGGCTCTGTGCTGGGGTCACAGCTGCTGCCTCCTCCCCTCTAGGGACAGGGAGGCTGGCAGGGCCTCAGGTACTATCACCCATCACCCAAGGGGCTGCCGAATCCAACACCTCAGTGACCTGCACTGCCCCGGTGCGCGGTGCCAGCCACAGCTGCTACAGGAGGGGGGCCTCGGGTGGCAGGCAGCTAACGTTACTCAAGTGTCAACACCACGGCCAGCTTTTGGAGCTGCATGAGCCATCCTCGATAGAGTTCCGTGTCACTTTACAGGCCTCCCAGCCCAGCAGCCAGGGGACACTCACCTGAAATAGCTTTCTACATGCCCAGTGGACCTGGTCTGAGTGGAGAGTATGGGATTATTGGCACATGGATCAAGGCTGTCAGATCAGCAAATGCGCCAAGATCAAACTACCCACGCTGTATGCGGGACCAGCACAGGGGCGGTGACGTCGGCACAGAGTGCTTCCTGGGAAATCGCTCTCCAGCACTCAGCCATGGCCAAAGCTTTAAAGGCAATGGGAAACACCCTCCTCAGGGAGCCTGTGTGGCTTCTTTGCTGTCTCCTGCCTGAACATCACTGACCAGCTGCATGGCCATGGATAAAGCCCTTAGGTTCCTTCTCCCTGGGCACCACATGCATGAGCCTCCCTGTCCTAGAACTGAACACATTACCCTTATACTGTCCCACCTCTCTCCCTGGCTCACCTCTGAACCCCCAACACGAAGCCAGCTTTCCACACATGTTTGTCGAATGAATAACTACGAGCTCTGCAAGTGCAAAAATTGTATTGTATTCTGCTTTATATCTTTAGGGTTTAGCGTCAGGCCTGAGGGCACAGTGCATACTTGGTACATGTACAACAAAAGAAGAAAGGAGAGCGCAGAGGAGGGAGTTAGAAACGTTTATCCCTCTTCGTACGCCGCCCTCTTATACTTGCTGTATGTGCTCAGTAAATCAATTAAAGTCACTGCAAATCAATGAATGATCAATGAATGATGGAACCTCACCAGTTGAGTGAAGAGGCTGGACCAGGTGTTTGCTCAAATCCCAACCAGTCCTGAGGAAATCCATCACAGGGTGATGCTGTGTGAGTGGATGGCCCCATGGTATGCGGGCTCCAAGCTAGAATGGACGGATGACCCATCCCCACTTAGGGCTCTCTGTGCTGGCGCCTGGCCCCTGTCCCATACTCCAGAGCTCATGCCCACTTACTTTTGACACGAAGCCAGGCATCCAACAGCAAGGGTCTCCAGTTGAAGTGGGCTTTTTTTTTTTTTTTTTTTTAGACAGAGTTTCACTCTTGTTGCCCAGGCTGGAGTGCAGTGGCATGATCTCGGCTCACTGCAATCTCCTCCTCCCAGGTTCAAGCAATTCTCCTGCCTCAGCCTCCTGAGTAGCTGGGATTACAGGTGCGCACCACTACGCCCAGCTAATTTTGTATTTTTAGTAGAGACGAGGTTCCTCCATGTTGGTCAGGCTGGTCTCAAACTCCTGGCCTCAGGTGATCTACCTGCCTCAGCCTCCCAAAATGCTGGGACTACAGGCATGAGCCACTGTGCCTGGCCTAAAAACCATCTATGGTTTTTAATTTTCTTTCCACTAATGTACCATTTGCTTTTTTCACAAGAAGACAGCTGGCCCAGTGACCCTCAGAAGTGGACTGCAGAAGTGGGGGTACCTCCCAGGTAACATTCTGTTTGCTTACAGCAGTGGGCCAATCAGGGGGAGGGCAGTTGGTTCGGGGCTCCCTGCGTCACTTCCCTTCTCTGGAGTTAGGGGCCAAGTGTAGGTATCATATTGAAAACTCTACAACTGACCAGGGTTCTCGGAGAACAACCAACAGCATCAGATCCAGAGTCTGGGGGGACTGGGCTGCTCCTCCATGCCAGCCAACCCCACCTCACCCTGTTCAGGAGCAGCCTCCCAAGCAGGAGCTCACCTGGCTTCTCTCTCTCTCTTTTTTTTCGGCTCACTGCAACCTCCTCCTCCCAGGTTCAAGCAATTCTCCTGCCTCAGCCTCCTGAGTAGCTGGGATTACAGGTGCGCACCACTACGCCCAGCTAATTTTGTATTTTTAGTAGAGATGAGGTTCCTCCATGTTGGTCAGGCTGGTCTCAAACTCCTGGCCTCAGGTGATCTACCTGCCTCAGCCTCCCAAAATGCTGGGACTACAGGCATGAGCCACTGTGCCTGGCCTAAAAACCATCTATGGTTTTTAATTTTCTTTCCACTAATGTACCATTTGCTTTTTTCACAAGAAGACAGCTGGCCCAGTGACCCTCAGAAGTGGACTGCAGAAGTGGGGGTACCTCCCAGGTAACATTCTGTTTGCTTACAGCAGTGGGCCAATCAGGGGGAGGGCAGTTGGTTCGGGGCTCCCTGCGTCACTTCCCTTCTCTGGAGTTAGGGGCCAAGTGTAGGTATCATATTGAAAACTCTACAACTGACCAGGGTTCTCGGAGAACAACCAACAGCATCAGATCCAGAGTCTGGGGGGACTGGGCTGCTCCTCCATGCCAGCCAACCCCACCTCACCCTGTTCAGGAGCAGCCTCCCAAGCAGGAGCTCACCTGGCTTCTCTCTCTCTCTTTTTTTTTTTTTTGAGACAGAGTCTCACTCTATGCCCAGGCTGGAATGCAGTGGTGATCTCAGCTCACTGCAACCTCTGTCTCCCAGGGTCAAGTGATCCTCGTGCCTCAGCCTCCCAAGTAGCTGGAATTACAGGTGCACACCACCATGCCCAGCTAATTTTTGTATTTTTAGTAGAGACGGGGTTTCACCATGTTGGCCAGGTCAAACTCTTAGCCTCACGTGATCCACCCGCCTCAGCCTCCTAAAGTGTTGGGATTACAGGCGTGAGCCACCATGTCTGGCTACATGGCTTCTCTTACACACCTCCAACAATAGGACACTCACTACCTCACAAGACAGTCCCTGCCACTGCGTTGCTGAGTTAACACTTTTCTCTGGCATCTCTACCATCGTGGTGACTGTTCTGCCAGCGGAGCCTGCTCCCTCTCCCACACAGTGGTTCTTCAGGTGGGTGGAGAAGGCACCTGAGTCCCTGAGGCTGCTCTGCTCTTGTCCACAGAGCCCACTACCCTGCTGCGCTTTGCAACGGGCCATGCTCTGATATCCTGGCCTCCTGTCAGCCCCGGGGGCCCTCTGTGCAGCCTCCACAGGGGAGGACTGGGTGCAGCACCCAGGCGCCCTGGAGAAGCTGGGAGACGGAAGCGTGTGGTGAGAAGCAGCACGGCCGCATCCTCTTCCCTGGGCATATGCACGGGGCGTGATCACCCTCGCCTGGCCCTTTCCTCCTCTCCCAGCACGCGGCTCTTGGAGAGGTGAGAGTGCCTCCACCTGTCTGTCTGTCTCACTGTCATGCACGGGCACAGACTCCCAGGTGGCCCAGTGGCAGGACAGGCAAACGCTACGCCCCCGCCAGGACTCGCCCTCGCCAGATGTAGAGGCTGGTGAATACTCACATGGATTTCTTTTCCAGGTTCTCCAGGTTTGTCTTCAGAGTGTTGTAAGCGGCCGTTCGGGACTTCAGGTCCATCTCGATCTGTGCCAGTTGCTGTTTGGGAAAGCAAAAGCTCCTGGTGACCTTGGGCACTGAAGGACTTGGCTGAACTTTTGGAAATGGCCACAAAAGCTCATGGTGCGTTCAAGAAAAAGAACTGCCCTGGCCATTTGCCAGGATGGCTTCCGTTTACCAGCATCTGGCCCTTCCAAGGAGCCCCTGTGTGGCACCCAGGCGCCAAGCCATGATGGCTTTTCTAGGATGACTCAATGAGCCCAACCTTTCCTGATTTCAAGCCCATCCTGAACAGTCAGGACATCCCACACCCACACCTACCCTCTCGGGCTCTGCTGGAGGGCAGCTCAGGCTGACGCCCAATCGTTGCTTCCAGGAGGACCCGACATTGCCTGGCCCTCACAAATGCCCCGTCTCCTGGCTCGGCTGTGCCAATATCCCTCGCATGTGTTGGCAGGGGCAAGGAAGTGCAGTGGATAGAAACAAGACAGGCCCAGGCTCAATCCACGCCCTCCTGCTTTCTGGCCGACTGGCTCAGGTTCCCCATTTGTTCCAGAGGGCAGATAATGCCAGTGCTGAGAGCCGACTGTGCCAGGCTCCTTCCCATTCCCTCCTCGCAGCCCCATGCAGTAACACCCCACCAGCTTAGGCAACCAGCCATGGCAGGAGCATTTACACCACGGCCATCAACAAATGCTACAGGCTAGCACACGGCTGCTGACGGGAGAATCTCAAGAGTCAATAGATGAAGAAAATAGGTGCTCCACAGAATGCCAACAGCTTTAGTCTAAATATATACATTTTTATACATGGATGAATCTATTGTAAACTTTTTTTTTTTTTTTTTTTTTTGAGACGGAGTCTCGCTCTGTCGCCCAGGCTAGAGTGCAGTGGCAGGATCTCAGCTCACTGCAAGCTCCGCCTCCCGGGTTTATGCCATTCTCCTGCCTCAGCCTCCCGAGCAGCTGGGACTACAGGCGCCCGCCACCTCGCCCGGCTAGTTTTTTTTTGTATTTTTTAGTAGAGACGGGGTTTCACCGTGTTAGCCAGGATGGTCTCAATCTCTTGACCTCATGATCCGCCCGTCTCGGCCTCCCAAAGTGCTGGGATTACAGGCTTGAGCCACTGCGCCCGGCCCATTGTAAACTTTTAAACATTGGTTACCTTTTGGGAGAATAAAGGGAATGGGGGTGATGATCACAGCTCGAATGATTTTATTATTTTAAAGATAAAATCATAAAATAATTTTAAAGATAAAATAATTAAATATAATTAAAATGATAAAAATGATTAAATTAAATGATTATATTCAAATGGTAGGCTGGGCAAGGTAGCTCATGCCTATAATCCCAGCAATTTGAGAGGCAAAGGTGAGAGGATCACCTGAGGTCAGGAGTTTGAGACCTGCCTGGCCAACATGGTAAAACCCTGTCTCTACTAAAAATACAAAAATTGGCTGGGCATGGTGGTGGACGCCTGTAATCCCAGCTACTCAGGAGGCTCAGGCAGGAGAATTGCTTGAATCCGGGAGGCGGAAGTTGCAGTGAACTGAGATCACGCCACTGTACTCCAGCTTGGGTGACAGAGTGAGACTTTGTCTCAAAAAATATATATAATAAAATGGGCCAGGCACGGTGGCTCATGCCTGAAATCCTAGCACTTTGGGAGGCCGAGGTGGGCAGATTGCCTGAGCTCAGGAGTTTGAGACCAGCCTGGGCAACATGGTGAAACCCTGCCTCTACTCAAAATACAAAAAAGTTAGCTGGGCATGGCGACATGTGCCTATAATCCTACCTACTCAGGAGGCTGAGGCAGGAGAATTGCTTGAACCTGGGAGGTGGAGGCTGCAGTGAGCCGAGATCTCACCACTGCACTCCAGCCTGGGCAACACAGTGAGACTCTGTCTCAAAAAAATAATAATAATAAAATGATAAAAATGATAATTAAAGAAAAAGATTTAAAGTGATGATTTTAAAGATAAAAACTAAATGTTTTTCTCTTTACATTTTGCCATGTTTGTTTTTTTATAAAATTCCTCTTTTTATAATAATTTTTTAAAACTTTCAAGTTTGAAACGATTATAGATTCACAGGATGTTGCAAAAATAGTACATAGAGATCCTAAGTACTCTCCATGCAGTTTCCACAGTGATTTCCCACACCTCACCATACAACTATACTATTCGGCACTATACAACTGCATACTATACTGTACTGTGCAACTATATTGTACGACTATACAACTATATTAAACTCTTCTGCACTATAGAAGTATACTGTGCAACTGTATAGTATACAGCATTATGCAACTATATAACTATATGATTACTATTCTGCACTATACAGCTCTATTACTATACTGTACTGTCCTATACAACTATACTATACTATACTATTCTGCACCACACCATCATAGTTCTGTATCATAACCAGGAAACTGACATGGGTACAATCCACAGATCTTGCTTTTTAAAATAAGATTTGTATATTTTGGGGGGGGAAAAAGCAAAAAAAAAAATACTGCTTGTCTTTATTTTTCTGATTTCATCACAAGCCAATGAAAAATTGCTGAGAGGTATTTGGGAGCAAGTAAAACAATGGTGGGAACTAGAGTTTTGGAACCAGTAAGGCCCACATTTAAATGCCAGTTCTGACTTTTACTGGCTGTGTGACCTGATATAAGCTCCTTGACCTCTCTGAGCAAAGTGACCCAGAATTACTGTGAGATAATAGAGGAATCTCCTTTGACTAAATGTCTCTAGTTGACAGATTGAGACCTCTCGTTGGCAGAATGAGGCTGAGGCGGGGGGTGTCACACTGTGTTCCTGGTGTAGAAAGGACCGAGGGAGCCAACACCCCGGAGCCTCTGCCCCTGCTCCCGCCAGGAGCTGCTTCCCTGCGCTGGGGCCAGTCCAGGGCTTCCTTGGGAAGTGGTACCATGCACACAGTCAACCCGCAGGCTCTGGTCCCCAAGACCTGCATCCCCATCCCGGCATAACACTCCAACTGTGGCAGGCCCTGGATCGCGCACTCAACTCCTCAGCTTCCTCTTCTGCACTCAGAGGAAAGCGATGTCCACCCCATGGCATGAGGTGGATAGTAAGGGAGCCCAGCACAGTCTCGGGCACATCTGGAATGCCACCAAACCAGTGCCCTCCTTCCTTCCTGCCAAAGGCACTCTTAGGGTGCTCTGGACGGGAGAAGCCAGGTCTCCCTACAGCCCCTCTGCCCCCTCCATGTGCTCCAGGGCCCTCCACACTGAGTCTGGCATCCCTGGGACTCAGAGAATCCCAAACTGGCCCATGGTGAGGCAGAGAAGGGCCAGCCCCACCAGCCACCGTGTGCTTCCAGTTCCTTGGTGGACACGCATGGCGCCCTCTGAAGGGAACACCTGGCACAGGTGCTCTGGGCAGCCCCTCCTTGAAGGGCCTTCCAGAATCACTGCCTGATCGTTCCAGCAGGGGCCTGGGCCCCTTTGATGTTAGCAGCCCCTGAGGTGCCCCACCCAGATTCCCGAGCTTTCTGGCCCCACCCTACTTTCCAGGAGACCTGCAGGAGTTGCCAGAGGACAGGTCAGAGGCCCAGCTCCACCCTGACCCTTGGCCACAGTCACAGTAGAGAACCGGGCGCCTTTGTTCCTGGCCCAGGCTGAGACTCTCCCACAGCCATGGGGGCCAGCAGGAGACGGGACACATTAGGGGCTCAGTGTTTTGTGGCAGAAGGGAGAGCCAGGCCTCAGAAACCATCAGCCTCAGTCTCATGGTCCTCATCACTCTCGCCCTCAGTGATGATACAGAGAAGTCACCCAGCTCCAGGTGCCCACAGCATCCCCTGGGACTCGAGTCACAGGGTGTTCATTTTATCAAGTGGAGTGGAGGCTATTGCTGAACAGGACAGAGGACTGTTGGGACACTTACTGCCTCTCCATTGTCACAAGTGGAGAGCGAAGAGCTGGTGCAGTATCTCAAGAGGTTAGGGCTCCCAAGCCAAACTCTCCACTTAAAGCAAATAGTTTTGCAGGTGAACAATCCCCTGGGGGCTAGAGGTGTCAGGTTCGTAGGAGTAGATGATGGGGGAGCTGCCTTCACCATTAGTAACTTTTTTTTTTGGTGGGGGGATGGAATCTCATTCTGTTGCCCAAGCTGGAGAGCGGTGTAACCTCCACCTCCCGGATTCAAGCGATTCTCCTGCCTCAGCCTCCCGACTAGCTGGGACTACAGGTGCGTGCCACCATGCCCGGCTAATTTTTGTATTTTTTAGTAGAGACAGGGTTTCACCATATTGGACAGACTGGTCTCGAACTCCTGACCTTGTGATCCACCCACCTTGGCTTCCCAAAGTGCTGGGATTACAGGCGTGAGCCACCGTGCCTGGCCACCATCAGTAACTTTTGAAAAAAGAAGTGGAGCAGCAAGTGAATGGGTGCTGGGCCCTCGAGGGGAGGCCACGAGACTGACTCTTTCTCTGTCCAGGGCTGCCCTAAAACCCCAAACCTGCCCGGTGCATGGAAGGAGGCCACACCTCAGAAACCCAGAGGCCCAGTCAGGGCAGGCTGAGGCTGTTGACAGGGGGGCCCTACCCAGGCTCAGACCCCAGGCTGTTGCCCGCCTGACCCACCAGTCAGCTGTCCCCCAGAGCAGTCCCTTTTCTCACCTTGGCTACTGTGTCCACCACGCTCACGAGCGGCTGCTTGGCAGGGTATTTGGCCATGTCCCATTCAAAGTGGGTCACAAAGGATGTTAAGTCAACTGGAAGAATACAAACACATTTCAACACATGAGCCTGCGCTCCGCGTCCACGAGCGAGACTTCGGAATCCCAAGTCAAGCATCACCGTGGACATGAAGGCAGCCATCACGGGCAACGCCGGCGGGCAGGCACAGGGCTCTGGCAAAGCAAACGTTCCCTGTGGGAGCAGGGAGCTGTCAGCCCGTGGGAGCTGTGAGCCCGTGGGAGCTGTTCCCTGTGGGAGCTGTCAGCCCATGGGAGCTGTTCCCTGTGGGAATGTGAGCCCGTGGGAGCTGTCAGCCCGTGGGAGCTGTTCCCTGTGGGAATGTGAGCCCGTGGGAGCTGTCAGCCCAAGCACTAGGCAGTTTCAACCCTCACTGTCCATTTCAAAGAAGGTATTTTCCACATTAGCGAAATGCTGGACTTTGTGACTGTGGTTTATATTAAACGGCAGGGAGGTGCATTTTTCAGTATATGCTATTTAGAGAAAAGTCTCTGATGAACAGACCACACCAGTGTTTTCACACATTTCCTTTTTTTCTTTTCTTTCCACCAAATCCACTGCCTTCAGAATGTCTCTGGCTCATTCTAACCAGGTGTGGGGTGGAGAGAGCCCCGGAATTGAAGTCAGAAAGAAGCAACACTAAATAAACCTCAGCTGACTCAACCCTTAGGCTAGGAGAGAATCCATTTCCCTCCCTGAGACACAGCGGAGTGGCACCTTGCCTGCTCTCTTCAGATTGGTTCGCCACACGCTTAAACAGAGCTACCTGGGCCAGCCGCCCCAGGACCTGACCTCTTTTAATACGCCGGTCTATGGGAAAGCGGGAAACTCCCCGGAAGCTGCAGTGCCATAGTGGCCCCTGGAATTCCTGAGCCCCTGGCAGAGGGCCCTTCCTATGGCGGATGTCCCAGACCAGGCTCCCTGTGCACCGGCACTTCCCGGTCTATCCTGGTGCATGAAAGGGGACTGTCACGCTCACTCCACACCCATCACCCTGCTGGGGACACACACTAGACACCACGCCCTGCCCAAGGTCCACAGGGAGACCCCTAGGCAGCCACTCCACAGAGAGCTGGGGGCCCAGCGATAACCTCCTGGAGTGCTAAGGGAGGACGAAGAGCTGGCGCCGGCTCCCGCTAGGGAGGATGGAGACCCTCCACTGGGACACAGACATGTTACTCACGCGGAGGCTAAGGGGAAGAGGAGGCAGCCATGTGGCCGGTGATGGAGGGCGTTGGGTGTCAGGCAAGGAGGGCTGGCAGCGTTATGTGCTCAGGGCACTGTGAGTCAGAGAAGAGGGAGTGTGGACGGGCACTGAACAGAAAGGGGTAGGATCAGTCACCAAGGGTCATGTCTACACTTCACCGAGTGCCAAAAACAACACTAGATCCCACCCACTCAGCCCCTAGCACGGGAATTGGACTGAGATTCCTCCAACCCCGACAGTGGCGGCCAGTGGGGTCACCAAATAAGACTCCAGCCGACCAAGGGGAGCAGGCTGGGGACACTCACACACTCTGGGGGAGTCCTCTGAGGCTGGCGTGGAGGAGGCTCCAGGCGAGAAGCCAGCAGGAACGTGGGAGGGAGAGGGTGGTGCCAAAAGGAGTAGGAGGGGCCCTGGGAGGGGAGAGGAGGACAGGGGAAGACCGACTGGACAGGGTGCAAGGCAATGATGCAGGCCTGGTGACACCAGCTTTCCCATTGGGTGGCTGGGTGGAGGGAGAGAAGTACACTAAGCTGGGCAGCCATGGAGGTGGGAGGGATGGGGACGGAGGAGAGGACGCAAGTTCCGCCTGGGACAAGCTTGAGTTTGACATGTGGGTGGATAGGTCCCCAAGAAGCAGATGGGAATGAAATGGGACACGGAGGAGGAAACCGGGCTGGGGAAGAAATGCCAGCGTGTGAGACATAGGAAAGGTCTGAAGATAACAGGACGACGATGGTGACAATGACCATTAAAGCAGCTGGCACTTAACTGCTGCTGACCTTGGGCCAAGACACATGAATTATTCCATTTAATTTATTCTTCAACCCTATTAAAACTCTATGATGATCTCGATTTTACAGATGAGGAAACTGGCACAAAGCAAGCTACGGAAACTCCAGGATAAAGGGAGACAATGCGTGAAGCACCTAACGCCCTGCTTGGCCCATGGCAGGGCCACGGCTCCCTTCCCTGCCACATCCACTAAGTGGACACAGCCATGCAGCAGGTGGAACCTGCCCAGGAACCACACTCAGACAGCTTCTAGACCACCGAGACTCGAAGAAGGTCCTTGGGAGAATTTGTTTTACAGACTTTAGGACGCTGGTGTTGGAGTTAACATGGCGTGTCCTGGCCTGTTGACAAGAGTACCTCTGAGGAGCTAAGGGTGGGGCCCTGATCCAATGGAATTCGAGGCCATATAAGAAGGGACAGCAGAGAGTTGGATCCGTGCTCTCTCTCTCTCCTCATGCAGGCACCAAGGAAAGGCCATGGGATGACACAGCAAGAAGGTGGCCATCTACAAGCCAGGCAGAGAGCCCTCAGGAGAAACCAGGTTGTCCGATCTTAGTCTGTGGTTTAAGCTGCCAAGTCAGTGGTATTTTGTGACAGCAGTCCAGGCTGACTCAGACATTGGTATTAGTTTGGGTATTAATACAGGTTTTGGTATTGCCACACACAGTGGGAATGACCTTGTAGCAAGGGTGCAGGCTGGGGAGGAAGTGAGAGCAGGGAGCGGTCAGAGGGTAACCAGGAGGATTGGGAGGACTCCTCCTGCGGCAGGAACAGCAGCGAAACTCACCTCCAGGACCCCACTGCACAAGCACAGGCAAGGTCACCTCCCACCATGGGCCCAGAGCCATCCCACAAGCCAGGTGCCAGTCTCAAGGCACCAAGCGGCAGCCCAGGATGGGAGATGGCAAGGCGGTGTGTGCCATCCCATCCATCTCTTCCCTCCACCTCCTACCTCATCCCCTCTGACACCCCAGGCAAGTCCCCACAACTCCCCACTCTCCTCTCACGGCTGCCTCTGTCCTTCAACATGTAGGACAGGGAAAGACCAGCTCCTTCCAGGGGTGGCCCAACTGTCCCTGCTCCTGCTGGCCTGAACTCCACTCCTTGTGCTGTCTCAGGTTCCTCAAGGACAGTGACTGTGACTCACTGGTCTGTGTGTTCCCAGAGCCTGTCACAGTGCCCTGCACAGAGCAAGTGCTCCATAAACATGCTCAAAATACTGACAGACTCCTCCTGGCAACCATGACTGTGGTATCAGCTTGCACTGTCTACGTGGCTTGGAAGAGATACATTTCAGATCAAGCTTGTGTCTCTGGCCATTTGCACCAAGTCCAAGGCCTTCATGGCATTCAGACCAAAGGGCTGAGGTCTCCCTTTCCATCTGAAGCATCCCTGCCCTATAACTCCTCCAAGACTGAACCCGCTTCTTGCAGCTTGGTCTTTGTTTCCATCACGGCGCATGTGGCACTAAGAGTCTGTCCCCGGCAAGGCTGTGGCTTCCAGAAGGTGAAGGCCGTGCACCGCCACCGCATGCCCAGCATGTGCTTGGTACTGACAGATGCTCAGGGAAGTCTGAGATGATGTCTCCCTGCAGGGGCCTCCAGAAGCTTCTGGGTGTGTGACTGTGACTTCCTCCTCATCTCTCACATGTCTTGAACACCAGCTCCAGCCATGTACACTGAGCCTTGCCCCGGGTCAGGCATCCAAGCCCTTCCCTGTCCATGCACCTTGCCTTTGGAAAGAATGTTGTCTGAGGATGGCCCTTTGCCATCCCTCTGGTCTTTATGTTTTTTTTTTTGAAATGGATCTCGTTCTGTCGCCCAGGCTGGAATGCAGTGGCACCATCTCGACTCACTGCAACCTCTGCCTCCAGGGTTCAAGCAATTCCCCTGCCTTGGCCTCCCAAGTAGCTGGGATTACAGGCACACACCATCACACCCGGCCAATTTTTGTATTTTTAGTAGAGGCAGGGTTTCACCACGTTGGCCAGGCTGGTCTCAAACTCCTGACCTCAGGTGAACTGCCCGCCTTGGCCTCCCAAATTGCTGGATTACAGGCATGAGCCGCCGTGACCAGCCAGATCTTGCTTTTTAAAATAAGATTTATGTATTTTTTTCAAAAAGAAAAAAAAATACTGCATGTCTTTATTTTTCTGATTTCACCACAAGCTAATGAAAAATTGCTGAGAGATATTTGGGAGCCAGTAAAACAGTGGTAGGAACTAGGGCTTTCGAACCAGTAAGGCCCACATTTAAATGCCAGTTCTGACTTTTACTGGCTGTGTGACCTGATATAAGCTCCTTGACCTCTCTGAGCAAAGTGACCCAGAATTATTGTGAGATAATAGAGGAGTCTCCTTTGATTAAATGTCTCTAGTTGACAGATTTAGACTTCTCGTTGTCAGAATGAGGCTGAGACACCCATTTAGTGCTGGGATTACAGGTGTGAGCCACCGTGCCCAGCCCCTCTGGCCTTCTCTACTCACAGTACCACAGCTTGCCCTCAGCAGCTTGGAACACACAGGCCTTGCCTCCCCTGCCTGGGCTGTAGTCACTAAAGCCTGGGCCTCAGAGGGGGTAACGCGGACCTGGGCTGAGGGCCCATGAGGTCAGACCACGATCCAGGCAGGCTTACCCCTCATCAAAACACGCTTTGCACAGGCTGGCAACTCTTGAGCCATGACAGTCTTGTCCGAGAACCAAACCAAGGCCTGCCTGGCAGGCAGCAGCATGAGGGATGGTGACCAACCAGGCTGTGGCCCATCGCCCAGCAAGCCAGACAAGCCTCGAGGGTTTCTGTCTTCTGTGGACATTCTGGGGCCCAGGCTGGGCAAGGTGTTTGCCAGCCCTCGCTGCAATCAAAGCTGTGTCCTTCCCTGCTCCCAGCTCAACTAGAGGCAAGGAACAAGCAGAAACAACAGGTCCCGGTGAAGCCAAGAGCCTGTGAAGCCATTCAGTCCATTTACAGGTGAGAAAAGGAAAATCCAGAAGTGACTTTTGGACCAGGTCTGACCGGCTGCGAGCAGTCAAGGTGCCCTAATTGTCCCCGGAGGAAATAGGATTAAAATGCAACAATGCACGCCTCTGGTTCATCCTGTCAATCACTAGTTCATGGGTGCCCTGCAGAAGAGAAAGATTTCCTCATTCAGGTAACACTGGGAAAGCCCAAGTCAAACTAAGTTTAAAAAGGCCCCTCGGTTCGCACAATGGCTCACGCCTATAATCCCAGCACTTTGGGAGGCTGAGGCAGGTGAATCACAAGGTCAAGAAATCAAGACCATCCTGGCCAACATGGTGAAACCCTGTCTCTACTAACAATACAAAAATTAGCCGGGCATGGTGGTGCACGCCTGTCGTCCCAGCTACTCAGGAGGCTGAGGCAGGAGAATCGCTTGAACCCAGGAGGCGGAGGTTGCAGTGAGAGATTGCACCTCTGCATTCCAGCTTGGCGACAGAGCGAGACTCTGTCTCAAAAAGAAAAAGAAAAAAAAGGTCTCTCTAGGCTGGTTTATGGCACATGCTGTATTTTTTGTTTGTTTGTTTGCTTGTTGGTTTGTTTGTTTTTAAGAGACAAGGTCTTGCTATGTTGTCCAGGCTGGAGTGTGGTGGCTATTCACAGGCACAATCACAGTGCACTACAGCTTTGAATTCCCGGCCCCAGGCAATCCTCCCACCTCAGCCTCCAGGCTTCAGAATGTGCTTCACTAATTCTAGTCTTGGGAAGTTGAGACCCGACTCACAGGAGGCACAGAGGTCATAAAGCCCATTCAACAAACGAAGCTGAATTTTCTCCTCCTGAGAAGAGAGGCCACTGCTGGTACCATCAGGACTGGGGATGGATACTGCATAATAATAACATCTAACTTAAGGTTATATTAATTTTGCATAAAATATAAGCATTTTGATCGCTATTTTAATATAAGCTAAAGTTCCTCCGTTGTTTATGTAGAAAAGTAGCTCTCTACCTGAAGTCAGCCTTGCAGTCCTGGACCCGAGGAGTGACCTTCTGGGAAATCAGACCCATTTGGTTAACTTGACAAGGTGATTTTTTTCTTAGCATCAGCAAAAAATTTCAGTGTAACAAACAGACTGCATTTGGGAAGGCATTTGATAACTGCCAATCTCTAAAGATTTGTATTCAACCTAAAATGATTTACTATTTTTGATTCCACCAGTTTGAGCGGGTTGGAGAAAATCCAAAGCAAATGACTCCCTCTAACATTCACACAAGGAAAGACCTGTTTGGGCACCGGGACTGCCCGGAGGCTCCTTGTATGTCTGAACCCCATCAAGGCCACCCAAAGTGAAGCCTGGAGTTTAAGCTTCCAGTGGCCATAAAACAGACAGGCTCAAAGAGCAGGCAGTTGGGACACCGCGCGGCATCAAAGCAAGAAGCAGACCACATGCAGAAAGAGACAGTTCACCTTGAACTCCACAAGGTCAAAACGTTCCCAGCTTCCAGTGGCATGCAGTGCTGCTCAGGAGAGGCAGGGGTGATAGGACAAAGAGGAGGGGACGAGACGGTGGTTATCTGTGTCATATGGATATTGTGGCCAAGTTACAAGGTTGTTACTTGAGAAATCGTGGTAACTTGATCACTGCACCCCTACAACCAGACCGAGATTCCACCTTCCCGGGACATGCAGGCATCACGCCGAGCACAGACACAGCAAACAATGCATAACCTACTCTTTAAACATTTCATTTTTTCTTTCAAGCCTGCAATATAATAAGGTGGAGTTATTAAGCCACATAGACACACAAAGCCAAGATCACAGGTGGGGTACGAACATTTCAATTTGTCAACTTAAACAGCCAAATAAAGTCTCCTCTGGCCAGGCGCGGTGGCTCACGCCCATAATCTTTTGGGATTTGGGAGGCCGAGGCTGGCGGATCACCTGAGGTCAAGAGTTCAAGACCAGCCTGACCAACATGGAGAAACCCGGTCTGTACTAAAAATACAAAAATTAGCCATGCGTGGTGGCTGGCGCCTGTAGTCCCAGCTACTCGGGAGGCTGAGGCAGGAGAATCGCTTGAACCCAGGAGGCAGAGGTTGCAATGAGCCGAGATCGTACCACTGCACTACAGCCTGGGTGACAGTGTGAGACTCTGTCTCAAAAAAAAGTCTCCTCATGTTTTCAGAAGGGAAAAGTATGAATATATGTTATATTTATAACAAAGGATATAAATTTTATTATAAACATATAGTATATACAGTCATGCATTGCTTCATGACAGGGATACATTCTGAGAAATGTGTCATTAGGAGATTTTTGTCATTGTGTGAACATCACAGAGGGCACTTACAAAAACCTAGGTGGTATTGCCTGCGACACACCTAGGCTATCTCGTAGAACCTACTGCGCCTGGGCTACACACCTGTAGAGCATGTGACTGTACTGAACACTGCAGGCAACTGTAACACATGGCATTTGTATACCTAAATATTTCTAAACATGGAAAAGGTACAGTAAACATACAGTATTATCTATTGCTGTTATTTTTTGTTTGCTTGTTTTGAGACAGAGTCTCACTCTGTTACCCAGGCTGGAATGCAATGGTGCGATCTTGGCTCACAGCAATCTCTGCCTCCCTGCTTCAAGCAGTTATCCTCTCCCAGCCTCCCAAGTAGCTGGGATTACAGGTGTGTACCACTACGCCCAGCTAATTTTTTCTGTATTTCAGTAGAGATGGGGTTTTCACCATGTTGGCTGGGCTGGTTTTGAACTCCTGACCTCAGGTGATCCACCCGCCTCGGTCTCCCGAAATGCTGGGATTACAGGCGTAAGCCACCACACTGGCCCAGTATTCTCTCTACTCTCATCTTCAATATACATGCATAGAATCATGTAAGTTTAATCATTTCTAAAGATATTTAAATATTTAATTCTAAAGTTTCCAAAGTCTCAAAGGTTTTGCCTTGCACACTTTAAATGCACTGAAATAGCATGCACATAGTTAATGAACCAAAATATCATTGGAATCTAAAGGTTCCTCCTATCAGCACCGGGGAGGCAGACATTCCCAACGTGACTACACTGCAGGGAGCCTTCAGGGTGCAGCCTCTGTTCTTATTTACTGGATGGCAATTGAAGACTGGCTGGAGGCCTTCCTCAGCACAGGAAGGCATTTTTCATACCTGGTTTGGGCAAAGGGATAAATCGGTGAGGGTGAGGTGAGGGGGCAGAATTGCCCAGGTGGGGAGAGTGGTGGCTCTGGAGAGGGTGGAGGGGCAAACAGTAGGAGCCGGGCTGAGCCCCCTGACCCTATGTTCATTTGCAACACTCTGAGGAGTTCACCAGCCGGTGAGAGTAGAGGCGGAACTGGAGAGCCGTGAACTTAGGAAGGGGCATAACTTCCAAACCTAGCAGTGCTGATGAGCTAAAAGCAGTGCACCAGCCAGGAACAGTGGCTCACACCTGGAATCCCAGCACTTTGGGAGGCCAAGGCAGGAGGATCGCTTGAGCCCAGGAGTTTAAGACTGGCGTGGGCAACATTGCGAGACCCCATCTCTACAAAAAATAAAAAATATTAGCCAGGCGTGGCTGGGCACGGTGGTTCACTCCTGTCATCCCAGCACTTTGGGAGACTGGAGCAGGCGGATCACCTCAGGTCGGGAGTTCGAGACCAGCCTGACCAACATGGAGAAAACCTGTCTCTACTAAAAATACAAAACTAGCCAGACATGGTGGCGTATGCCTGTAATCCCAGCTACTCGGGAGGCTGAGGCGGGAGAATCGCTTGAACGTGGGAGAATCGCTTGAACCAGGGAGGCGGAGGTTGCTGTGAGCCAAGATCATGCCATTGCACTCCAGCCTGGGCAACAAGAGCGAAACTCCATCTCAAAAAAAAAAAAAAAAAAAAAAAAAAAAAAAAAAATATATATATATATATATTAGCCAGGCGTGGTGGTGAGCAAGAGGCTGAGGTGGGAGGACCCCTTGAGCCTGAGAGGTTGAGGCTGCATTGAGCTATGATCACACCACTGCACTCCAGCCTGGGCAAGACCAAGTCTCAGAAAATAATCATAATAAAAATTGGCCGGGCATGGTAGTTCATGCCTGTAATCACAGTACTTTGGGAGGCCAAGGTGGGCAGATCACTTGAGGTTGGGAATTTGAGACCAGCCTGGCCAACATGGTGAAACTCTGTCTCTACTACAAATACAAAAATTAGCCGGGCGTGGCAGCGGGTGCCTGTAGTCCCAGCTACTCAAGAGGCTGAGACAGGAGAATCGCTCGAACCCGGGGGGGCGGAGGTTGCAGTGAGCCAAGATTGCACCACACTCTAGCCTGGGCAACAGAGGGAGACTGTCTCAAAATAATAATGATATAAATAAATAAAAGTGAATGCAGAGCCTCTGCCCAGCCTGTCAATCCAGAGCGTCCACTGAGGCCTGGGCCGTCTTGGTGATTGCTGTGTGGCCACAGCGAGGGCGACTCTGGTCTAGACGGAGCTGGGAGATTGCGCTCCACGTCAGAGGGCTGCCCCACCTACCTCCGTTTGCCAGGAGGTGCTCCTGGGCCTTCCCCTTTGAGTCCTCCATGACTTCCACCACGCTCTGAGCCATTCTTCTTATGAGGCTTTGGAGAGAGAAGAAAAAGAGCTGGTCAGAGTAGGAAGCTGTCCTCAAAATACTGTCACACGCTGCTGGCAGGAAAAGTAGCCGGTGACACCCTTTGGGGGAATAATTTGGCAAGATGTATGAAGAGGGTTAAAACGCCAATAGCGGCCAGGCACCATGGCTCACACCTGTAATCCCAGCACTTTGGGAGGCCGAGGCAGGCAGATCACTAGATCAAGAGATAGAGACCATCTTGGCCACATGGTGAAGTCCGTTCTCTAGCTAAGAAAATACAAGAGAACGAGGGATGTGGTGGCGGGCACGCTGTAGTCCAGTCGTTGGAGCGAGGTGTAGGCAGGAGATCGTTGAAAAACCGGGGAGGGGAGTTGCAGTGTAGGCAGAGATCGCCATTCGCACTCACGCCTGGGGTGACAGAGTGGGACTTGCGTCCTCAAAAAAAAAAAAACAAAAGTAAGTAGACTGTTGACCATGTAATTCACTTCTGGGAAGTATTAAGGAGGGGGAAGAAGAAAAGCTTTCTGAATGAAGCGATGTTGCTTTGCCAGGGCACGCTGTTGGAAGTAAAGACATGTGGGACACTGGATCGTAGCTAAGTAGGGGGAATGTTTAGAGGATATGATGTAAGTCCAGATGGGGGACGTGTATGGTAGGGAGCCAGGTGGTTGAGAATAGCTTCGAGGAGCATTGCTGAGTGACTGTGGAACGCAAAGGTCGGGTGGCGTGTATATGATTGTTGGAGGAAGTAAGTAGCAGATATGCAGAACGTACTGCAGGGCAGGTAGGGACTACGGGTAGCAGATGCGGGATGAAGTGAGTTCTCGGCTAACGTTAGCAGTATTGTGCAATGGGTAGGTGTATATGGGTATTGCTGTTTAGTGCTTCTGGTAATTAGAATTAGATAACTTTTGTCGGCGGTCTGCTGAAAATGAGAACGATACTGAAGGCGTGTCGACAGAAGTACAATCTGAGCAAAGACCGCGAGAGAGGTTGGGCCAGACAGCTCTGTAATGAGCCAAAGTGTTATGGCGCGATTTAGCGCAATTTGTTGTGGAGACAGGTTTGTCGTGTCGCCGCGAGGGGGAGTGGCGGAGTGGATTCGTTCAATTCTCGGACAGTGCAAGCTCTGCCTGCGGGGCCCGGTGCCGAAGGGATTCTCTTCTCAGTTGCGGTCCATGTATGGTCGGGGATATGCAGGGCTCATCCCTCACACCAAGCCCGAGATTTTTGGTTAGCAGAGAGCGGGTGTTGGCTGATGGTGTGCGCAGGTTTGGTCCGTCGAGAATCTGACTCAAGTGATCGCGCGGTTGCGGTCCCCCCGAAGGGTCTGGGATTACAGGTGTAGTCATCGCGCGCGTGGCCATTTAGCCAAGACTGAGGTGGTAATTAGTGAGCCGCCGGTTCTCCTTACTATAAAATGTGGAGATTGAGATCTTTTACAGATGATCTCATGAATGTTGACATAAGCGGACATTCTAGCAAGGATGAGTTGCTCCAGAATCCTGAGCTTAGACTCCAGTTGGAAAACAAGGTCAAACATTAGGAGGGCAAGTGCTGAAAGTTACTGAGGATCCAAATTTGGTTGCCTCAGGTCTCATCACATTCTCCCCGCCCTCACGGGGAGGTGGTGTTGCAGGAAAGCGGACTCAAGTCACTTGATCCTACCATGGAGTTCAGATTTTCCACTGCCTGGCAGACGGCTGGTTAGCCGGGCCACTTCGGACTGGAGGCCCAGAGGGCTTAGGCCAACACAGAAAACAGAGGCCAGTGGAGCATGCGGATGCCCTGATAAAGAAAGGAAGAAGGAGAGGTAGCACCTTGCTTTCCTGACTCTCAAAGTCACGTGTTCATGGTCAAAAATGGAAAAATACAAGTATAAAGTAGTTAACAAAAATTGAACAACCATACTCCCCCACCCAAGAGGGAACATATTTCACATTCCGGCATATTTCCAAAGGCTTAACACTTGCATGGTTTATGTGAGTTAAGGTCTTTTTTTTTTTTTGAGACCGAGTCTCGCTCTGTCACCCAGGCTGGAGTGCAATGGCCGGATCTCAGCTCACTGCAAGCTCCGCCTCCCGGGTTCATGCTATTCTCCTGCCTCAGTCTCCCGAGTAGCTGGGACTACAGGTGCCCGCCACCACGCCTGGCCAATTTTTTTGTATTTTTAGTAGAGACAGGGTTTCACCGTGTTAGCCAGGATGGTCTCGATCTCCTGACCTCGTGATCCACCCGCCTCGGCCTCCCAAAGTGCTAGGATTATAGGCGTGAGCCACCGCGCCCAGCTTCTTTTTTTTTTTTTTAGGCAGGATGTCGCTCTGTCACCCAGGTAGGATGGGAATACAGTGGTGTGATCACGACTCATTGCAGCCTTGACCTCCCAAACTCAAGTGATCCTCCACCGAATTTTTAAATTTTTTTGTATAGACGAGGTCTTACTATATTGCCCAAGCTGGTCTCAAACTCCTGGACTAAAGTGATCCTCAGGCCTCAGCCTCCCAAATTGCTGAGATTACAGGCATGAGTCACTGAGCCCAGCCAGACAGAGTTAAGGTCATCTTCTGATATCACCTATTATTTAGTAGAGTCAACCAAGTATCAGACATTCTATAATCATTGCCTCATTTAATCCTCACAAAAATTCCCAAAAGTTGGGTATCATCTCATTTTACGGATGGAGAAACTGAGACCCAGAGAAGTAGTTTGCCCCATCCCTTCCAACCATCCAGTCATTATGTGTACTCCAAAAATGAGGCTGTCAGCCATCAGGCCACACTGCTATCTTTACCAACACTGTGTCCCATCCTGGGATTAAATCTCCACCAGTATGATGGCATTTCTTAGAACAGTAGCTAATAGCGTCTTACTGATTATAACCTCGGGTAGGTTACCTAACTAATCTCAGTTCCGTCTGCAAACTGTTTTCACATTTTTACAGTTTTCAGCTGTCAAATGGGGATGACACTCCTTATCTCACGGGATTCTTCATGGAGTTTGGTGCCCGATACCATTGTAAGGTATCAGAGTCTGTGAGAGACACCCTGAGATATGCTCTAGGCAACCTGGGTGGACTGTTTTGGGTTCTCTGCCCCATGATTCCTGGGTAGATTTGGCAGGAGATCAGAGGGAGGGAGAGTCTGGTTCCCTCCCAGTTCCAGTGACCTCAATCCTCTCGTCCCTGCCAGCCTAGAGGTTGTGACAATGTCTCTCCACCAGCCTGGGTTCCTGCATGGTTCCTGTGATTCTCCTGTAGCCCACACATAACTCTGTCTCGCTATAAGGAGCTCCTCCTCAAATTATCCCGGGCATAATTTGCAAGTGGATCTTCTGTTATCTGTTGGGACCCTGACTCCATAAATTCATTTGTTCATTCGTTTAGCAAATTTCATACATCAAACAACTACTATGTGCCAAGCACTGTTCTAAAATGTCATGGACAAAACAAAGTCCCCGCTCTTTTGGAGCTCCTATTTTAGTGCTGCCAATGGTTCCTCCTTTATCCTTACGGCGGCCTGTGGGAGTTGCTGTCTCCTATCACCACATCCCCTATAATATTTTGAGTAGTTATTTGTTTACATACATCCAGCACCTACCACAGTGCCTGACTCACAGCAGCTGCTCAGCAACGTTTGATGAATGAATCAATGAATTCTGGCACCCCTACTTTTTTCTGTCCTAACAGACCTGAGAACTCACTCATCATTTTGCTAATGACTCTTTAGTGCTCCTTGTCCTCGCCTCTATGAAGTTTTTGTTTGGTTTGTTTTGTTTTGTTTGCTTTTTATTTTTGAGACAGGGTCTCACAGGCTGGAGTGCAGTGGTGCTATCTCGGCTCCCTGCAACCTTCACCTTCCAGGTTCAAGCGATCCTTCTGCCTCAGCCTCCTGAGTAGCTGGACTACAGGCATCTGTCACCAAGCCCCGCTAATTTTTGTATTTTTGGTAGAGACGGGATTTCACCATGTTGCCCAGCCTGGTCTCAAACCCCTGAGTTCAAGCAATCCACCTGCCTCGGCCTCCCAGAGTGCTGAGATTACAGGCATGAGCTACCACACCTGCCCTTCTGTGAAGTCTTTAACTACATAGAAGTGTGGCCCGTAGCCATATACATGACACCAGAAACGTCTCCGAATAACATGGTCTGATGAAGCTCTACTGCTAGAAAAAACCCTTGTTCTACATACCACAAACAGTCCTGACCTAGCTATGATCATTAACGATGGTCATCAGTGAATTGCAGTATTACTGACTCGGAAAATTTTTCTCATTGAAAGGGAACTAAGAGTCTACATTCTGTGTTAAATGTACTTTTTTTCAGTCCAGTTCGTTGTGAACACTTTTTCACAGGAGAAGACTGGTTCCTCATTCCTTTCATTTACTGTACTGTATTTCACTTCACAGCTGTATCATAACAAATTCTCTACGATTGGACATTGGAGTTGTTGCCACTTTGATATGCTATCACAATAATATATACATTTTGCTCACTTGTGCAGGTATATATAAAAAATAAGTTGTCCGGATCAGAAAGCTGAACTTTGTTAAAAAATAAATAAATGTATTTTTAAAAAGAAAAATGCATTTTAAAAAATACATTTAAAAAGAAAAAATAAGTTGCTAAGAAAGGAACTTCTGGAATTAAGAGTATGAACATTTAGAGTTTTAACAAGCAAGACTAAACTACCCTACACATGTACAAAGCTAGTGTACACTGACACCCCAGCGTATGAGACTGCCTGCTTCCCTAAACCCTTGCCAACATAGGTATTATGAATCTTTGTAATCTCTGCCAATCTGATATCTGAAAAATTATATCTCATTGTTGCTTTTATTTGCATTTCTTTGATCATCAGTGAGGCTGGGACATCTTTTCTCATGTTTGGCTCTATAAAAGCCTATTTTCTTCTTCTGTGAATAGCATATTCATATATTTTGCTGGTTTTTTCCTGGCTTGTTCATTTAAAAAAATGTTTTTTTTTGGTAGGGCCAGGGTCTTGCTA